AGAATTGACTTCATGGCAATGGTTTGGTTTAGTGGCACTGAAAAAGGCAGCTTGGCAGCATAATGGTTAAGCTCTGGGCTGCAAATTCAAAGGTTGCTGGCTCGAATACACCGGCTGGTAGATCAGGGTGGATCCTAAATAGAATTCACTGCCATCAAGTCAATTCTGACCCACAGCAACCCTATAGGAGAGGGTTGAACCTCTCTGTGGGTTTCTGAGACTATAACTCTCTTTACAGGGGTAGAAAGCCTCATCTTTCTCCTTAGGAGTGGCTGGTGGTTTCAAACTGCTAATCTTGTGATTTAGCAGCCAAACACATTACTCACTATGCCACCAGGGCCACTCTCCTAAAAATCACAGCCTAGACAACTCTATGTATGCAGACTTACTCTGGGACTGACTAAATAGCTAACAGCAACCAAGTGACCCTGGGGTCATATCTCTCAACATTAGGGTGAATGTCTGGTTATCAGAACTTTCCATTGGGAAATCCAAAATACCAGCAGAGTCTGGATTGGGGAATGATGGGGACTTTGTAGATGAGATCATATACCTGACATTTTACTAAAACTACATTCAGTGCACATCATGTAAATAGTTTATTCAACTTTAAAATATGCTTATTAAGATATAAATATTTATTCAACTTAAAAAAAAGCCTAATAAAAAAAAAAGAAAATTAAAACCTAAGAAAATTTTTAAGTTGAATATTTACATGATAAAAAACTGTAATGGTTATGAAATTTGCTATTTGTGTGAGATTTTGACTGAATATTATGTAGCATTCCAGACTGTAGACTGTGGTCCTTGATCTTCAGGATGGACTACAGACTTCAGTATGGATCACATCTCAGTAAGAACACAAAAATGCTCACACTTAGACTACGGTAGTTACATAATTTCAGATCAACTTGACATGTAGGGGTGGAGTCTAGCCTGTCAATCAGGTCATAGCCTAATGGTGCGTCCTTGTGGGTGGGACCTCCTCATAAGAAGGGTCCTGGGAACCCCCTTCCCCCATCACTTCACCTTCCTGATGTACTCAGAGAGCTGCCAGAGACACAGCCAATGGATCCACACAACTCTGCACTCGATGGCCTGTGACCTCCCTTCATTCTGCATCATTGCATGTAGCTGTGCAAGTCTTTAGAGGAATTTATAGGACTTAGGAACTTGTTCTGGACTGGACTGGGAGATTTGCTTGCTATATAATTACTTTTGATATAAGACCTAACACATGAACCAAGAGAAAACATCATGATAAATGGAGAAATGATTGAAATTATCAAGGATTTAATTTTACTTGGATCTATATGTCCATGGAAGCAGCCATCAAAGGATATATTGCATTGGGCAAATCAGCTGCACAAGACTTCTTTAAAGTATTAAAGAGCAAGACATCAATTTGAAAACTAAAATATACCTGACCCCAGCTATGATATTTTTGATGGTCTTATATGCACGTAAAAGTTGGCAATAAATAAGGACACCTAGAGAAAAACTTACACATTTGAATTAAGATATTGGCTAAGAATATAAAATATACCATGGAACCCCAGTAGAAGAAGCAAATCTTTTTTGGAAGAAATTCAGCCAGTATGCTCTTTAAAAGTGAATATGGTGAGACTTGGTCTTCTACGGGACTTGAATCAAGTTAACACTATGCCAGTGTTTCTTTGTGAAGTGGATAAAAATAGTATTTTCCGCCCTTAAAAAGTGGAGCATAAAGGGCTCAAGTAGAAAGAAAATGTCTTAAAAATGATGATGGCAACATATGTACAAATGTGCTTGACACAATGGATGTATGTATGGATTGTGATAAGAGCTGTAAGAGCCCCCAATAAAATGATTTTTAAAACAAAGAATTATAACCAAAAGGAAAACCCTAACAAACAAAACCAAAAAAGTGAAACATAATTCAACACAACCTAACCTTTCTGGCACAATTGTTATGTAACTGAAAGACCAGTTGTGTGAATCCACTAGCTGCTTTATGGGAGAAATATGTAGCAGTCTGCTCCTGTAAATATTATAGTCTTGGAAGCAGTTCTACTTAGTCCTATAAGGTTGCTATGCGTCAGAATGGAAGCTGGTTTGGGCTTATCCTTTCTTTAATAATACAAGATGCAGCAAAGTCCTCTTTACAAGCATGAATTTTCCTTGTTAAACACATACCTGTCACTAGGTTTGAGCCCGGACAAGACTGGAAAAGAGCCAAGGGTTTTCCTCAGTACCTTACCACCAGTTGCTATTTAGCAGTCCTTTGGCCATTCTTAGATACCAATCTCGCCAGTCATCACTCTACCAATATTACCAAGTACAACTTTCTTTCTATATTTCCATCGTTTCTTTGAATGATAATCATCAAATAAGGATAGAAGGGGTCTTGGAAACCAAGCATTCTGAATTTACATCTGGAAAATGTACATTCCCAGAAAAGGCAGCTAGTCCAGGGAAGAGAAAGCCTAAGATCTAGCCCCTGCCCAGAGCTCTTTCCACTGCTCTTGGGCTACAATCCCTTTGGAATGTGCTAAGGGACTGGCCAGATGGCATGTCAAACAAATCCAGGACACAATGATAATGGCTTACAGTGGATTCAATTATATTAATACAGGCACTAGGTCAAGGTTGGAGGGGAAAATGCTACTATGGGAAAACAAACTAGGGTGAAAGCTACTTGGTCTACCTACCTAGACCGTAGGTTCTTACCACCACAGAGAATACATGTACGTTAAAATTACTACAGATCCTATAAGTGATACTTCTGATGTAATTTTTCCATCACATTGATTTCAATATGTTTAAATACCTTAAAATCAATATACTCGTAGATTTCTATATTACATTAAATTCATGATTTGCCTTCCCTAAAAGGAAGTTTTCTATTAAGTAAAAATAGGTGTTTTATTTTGTACTTTCTTCCAACAACAGCAAATAATTTTCTTTTAAAAGCCCCTTTCACATTGGGCCTCCACTCAAGTACTCCCTCAATGCAAGAATGCTTTCTTCTATTAAATTGGGTTGTTGTCTCCGTAGGTCTGTCTGGATAGGACAGGCTGGATGAACAATCTAGAGGAGAAAACAACGGGACTGACAGTTC